GTGGTTCGGTTTGGGAACCCAAACTTGTTTGGATGGTGGAGCTTTTGGTGGTTCTTCAAACACACCATCTTTGATCATAGGCTTGGTAGGCTCTGGTGAGGGGATCTTGATCAATTTGGGAGTGTTGGTGGGTTTCTCATTTGGGTTCAAACCACTATGTTCACCAACCTTGCCATAGACATGCTCACCCTTCCCACCTATAGCAAAGCCTACTCCCGATGAGTCAGGTTCTCCGCTTTGAATCTGCTCACCATCATGCCCAACTGGGGCTCACTGCACGACACCCAGCTCAAGATAGACCGAAGTTGTGTGTTTTCTTCCTCGGTTCCCATCTTGTCATGCCTACAAGACTCAAGCTCCAACACCAAAGCTTCACATCGAACACATGTAGTGGTGGTGCTATCTGAGTTGGCCTTCTCAAACTCAGCAAGTTTGGCAACCTTCTCTGCCAACTCAGATTGCAAGCTTCGAAAGCAGACTTGCATGCACTTTGAGCAACCCGTAACGAGACTTCAGCTCATCACATTCATCAAGCAAAACAACATACTTGGATTGCAAGTCGAGAGGTTAGACATGTGTATAGCGCACTCATCGCACTCCTCCTCGACACCACTACACCACTCTTGGCAAGCTCCAACTCCTTCAAAGCAACCTCTAGTCTGGTCCTTAAACTCTTTTCTCTCACGGGGCAGACGCTTAAGCAACTTATCTTGACTCATCAATGTATCATTCATAGTATCAAGCTCAAGCATGAGTGAGTCAAGTGTGGGCGGTACTGCTTTTCGTCGTCGTCGACGTCCTTTTTGAGCTTTGCTCCACCGTCAATCGCCATAGTGCAAAACCCACCACGGTTTGCACCGGCGACAAAGCGAAGACCGTTGAGCTTGTCCTCGCGCTTCTTCTCGGACTCATCGTCGGTCGAGGAAGAAGAAGAGTGATCATCGTCGAGTCGTCGTCGAGGTCGCCGAGGGAGGCGAGGAAGGCGCGTTTTGAGCTTTGGCCTTCCTGCGGCGCGCCTTCTTGATCGCCTCCTTGTCGGGCCGCCCTTGGCCTTGTGCTTGCCGGAGGTGTAGTCGCGTTTATCCTTGCGCTTGCCGGAGTCGTACTTGTTGGCGAAGGTCTTCTTCTTGGGGCAGTGCGCGACGAAGTGGTCCGGATCTCCACATCCATAGCATCCCTCCTTCGGGCCACCACTGCGTCGGCGGTTCAAACGGTTGTTGTGAAACCGAGAGAACCGACTGATGACGAGAGCCAACTCATCATCTCCAAGAGACTCCAGCCTGCTCCGTGGATCGACATCAAGCACGACAAAAGAGAAAGAAGCTTGTGAAGGGTTAGTCAAAGAACTTGAACCACTACCTGAGACCAAAGCCATGGTTGGTGCGGAAGGATTCTTGAGCTTGGCTTGAGTTTGGTAGTCGATCTCTGTGGACTTGAGCTTGCTGAAAAGCTCGTCGACGGTGAGGGTGTCATAGTTGGCGGACTCGATGATCGCCGACACCTTCACATCCCATACCTTTCGATCAAGGGCATAGAGAAGCTTGAGCGCTCTCTCATGATCACTATAAGGTAGGTTGGCCTTGTTCGCTTTCATTTTGTTGACAATAGTCTGAAAGCGGGAAAACATGGCATCGATGGACTCGCCATCAAGCTGAGAGAAGTTCTCGTACTCGCGCTTGTACGTCTCATAGAGTCTGGTCTTGACCTGTGCGGTCCCCGTGATAGCTCAAGCCTCACCCGGATCTCTCGAAATAGTAGTACAATCGGAGACACGCTCGAACTCAGAAAGCGAAAGACTCGAGAAAAGCACACTGCGAGCTTTGCTATTTGCGTTGTGCCGATCCTTGTGATCCTGGGTGGTACGGGCCGCGACAGGGAGCACAACGTAAGTAGCATCCTCGCAAATTTCCCAGACGAGCCAATCAATCCCCTGGAGATGCGCAGACATGCGGATCTTCCAATAAGGATAGTTGGACCCATCGGCGCGCGGTGGTTTGCCGTAACCACGCTCCATGTCGCCTTCGTGGATCACGGACCGATTAAGGTGGAATGATCCTTAACCGCTCGATACCAATTGAAGGACCGAAAAGGCGACCAGAGGGGGGGAATGGAAGCCGTAAAATTTCTCACGAGACTTTTTTTCGATCGCGTCCCAAAACACCACCAAGCACAAACGAGTTCCGGAGCTCAAATATCCAAGCCAACTAGTGACAAGAGTACCTACTAAAATTCCTCGGACAAGAGAAAAGCCAACGCATAGCAGACGGAACACGAAAACGGAGCTCAAACAACTAAGCTACGTAAGAAGAAGAAGCAAGCTCTAAAATAGACCAACATTTGGGTTGCTAACAAAAACAACCATGAGAGCTCACTCAGAGAAATATGATCAATCACTTGTAATTGACGTGAAATAAATAAATGACCATACAAGGATTACTTCTTGTAGCCGAGGTGACAACACAATAATAGATGTAGAAACAAAAGTCACGATCAAAGGTGTACTTGCTGCTAGACGAACACCGCAAATTTCAGCTTGATCTGCACACAAAAGAAATGCAAGCAAATGGCCGCTGCTCTGCGGTATTTGCACTGAATCCATGGCAAGCAAGCGCGCTCGATGACACACCGCAAGACCGAGCAATGAGAGGCAAGTAGCCCCGACGAGAAACCGATTCCCGAACGAACACGTAAAGAGAGACCGAACACCCGGTCGCTCAAAGAATCGATCAAGACGCAAAGTGTCCTCGCAAAGATGCTCGACCGGTGATTCAATGAAACCAGAGATGTCTTTGGAAGCGCCATAGGGGACAAGCGTGGTCTGCATACTGCTCCCTCACCAGATTGAAGTGTCGACTGAAGGCGAGTACGAAGAACAAAACGAAAGCAGGCCGAAGCGTTACGAAACGTAAACAAGGGCGACCCAAGAATCAAGGAAAAACAGCTCCAAACTCCATGATTTGTTCCCAAATTTTGTACACAAAATCTTAAGAGGATCGTGAGCTATTCCCGAGAAATCATCGCTCAATTTCAATCAGTAACTCGAAAATCAAAGAGATTTGAGCAAGAACGAGTTTTTCCCCAAAAAGGAAAATCGGCTTGATCTTGATGCACGAGTGGAATTGATTCAAATCACTTGGTAGAATTGTTCATCACTCGTCAAAGCATCAACTGGACCAAACAAATCACACACAAAAAACATAAATCAAGAAGGGGAAACTGGTGAACAAAGAACTTCATGAAAAGAAAAACACGAACACAAACACACATCAGTTTCCACATCCAGAGGACAAAAAGAGGTTAGGGCCTCCATTCCCGATGACCAAATCACACCAAAAAAATATCACGAATTTTTAGTTCATGGGACCTCTCTCAAGAGTGCTTAGAAGAAGAAACCCTAGGTGGAGGGAGAGAATGAGAGAATGGGAGAGAGGTGAGGGAGATGGGGCTCCCTCATCCTATTTAACAGTATTATTACACATTCCCGCTTTTGCCCTGGATACAAATGAGTTGAACCGCTAAGCCCAAGGGCGTTGTTGTCCAACCCGGTGTAATCTTGATCCGACAGCCACCGCTACTACTCACCGGTAGCCGCCTCGACGCTTGAACTCCCGATGCCGCCACGTGTCAGTCTGGTCCCCTCCTCGGAACCTCCGCCGGGTTTTGAGGCCCAAACCCAGAAACGTCTCTGCTGGTGGCGTACTCCATACGCTGCTTCCCGCCATCCAACGCGATGTCACCATCGTCCCCGACCGGCCGGCCCGCCAAGTCCTCCTGAGCCTCGCTCGACTCACGCGTCCGCCGTCTTGACCCGGTCAACACCGTCACTCCATGTCTTCTTGCACTTGTTGATGTTCCAAGTGTCAGCCACCGCGGCTAGTCGCCCGACCTCACGGTCCCTCGGTCCAAGCCTCACGTCCGTCCTTCACCGCTCTCGGTCCGTCGGCACGGCACGTCCTCCTTGACCTTCACCTCGTCGTCAACTACCGCCTCCGTGCTCCACACCTACACACCACGAGCCAAGAGACAAGCACACATAGCTTTCGCCATGGTAGAGTTAGTAACCGACTCAACCTATTCGTGGATCACGTTGATCAATCACTCATCACACAAAAACACGAACACACAAGGGTACTTGTCAACCTTGTGTTCGCAAGGGGAGCCGGGCCAGCCACGGCGACCACGGCGCCGGTCCGGGGAAGGGGAGGTGCGCCGCTTGTGAGGGCTCCGCGCGCTAGCGTCCCGTCTGCCCAGGTCCTGCGCCTCACGCTGCTCCTCCCGCTCTAGCAAGGCGTTGGCGTCGCGTGCCGCCCGCTCGTCTCGGTCCCGTGCGTCTCGGTCGAAGTCGTGTCGTCGTCCGTCGGCGGCCGACGCCCGCTTCGCGTCGGTCGTCGGGTTGCCGCGTCCGCCAAATTTCACGCCCACCACCGCGCGTCGCCAGCCCACCCGCTGGGCCGAGCCGCTGGCGTCGCTCGCGGCCGCGAGCCGCAGCCGCCATCGTCTCACATTCGACGCGCCGCCCGGGCGCCAGAAGTCCTCTCTGCCGCTTCGCGTCCGCCTCAAGACGGAAGCGCAGCCGCGCCGCCGCCGCAGCCTCCGCGCCTCGCTATCGCTCGGTGGGCAATGTTCATCTAAACGGCCGTTTAGCCCGTTTAAACACCGTGGTAAACGCTTCACGGTGGTACGCCGTTTTCGTTTAATCATCCGCTTAGTCCGCGAATTTGTCGTTTAGCCCGCTTAATGGTCTGCTTAGCCCGAATAATGGCTAAACGGTAGGTGACCGATCGCTTTACCGTTTAGCGCCATTTAAAACATTGCTGGTGGGCGGCTTGCCCAGACACACGCCGCAAAGAAGCTCCTTGGGCGATGCGAGCCACCCACTCACACTAACTTCTTTGCCGCTGCCGCCGCCTCCTCGCGCTGGCATTGCTGCGAAATTACTGCAAAGACGTATGCTGGAGGTGGTGGAACGGTTGGAGGAAGAGGATGAGGAGTGGAGAGACATGGCGACGGATTGGGATGGGGTAAGGGTAGAACCCAGATGAACTTAGACTCTAGATACCATTTGTTAGAACCAAAACACAGGTTTAGGGCTAAATTTCAGATTTCATTAGCCATACCATAACTATGGCCGGTTGGGGATACATATAGGATAGCTTGCTTGAGCCTTTAAAAAGCTTGCTTGAGCCTTAAGAAAGTTACAACATATTTTAGAGATGATAAAATAGATGCTAAGGATAAAGATAAAGGCTGAGACAGCCACCAACCACTCTAGATAATTATCCTAAGTAGATAAGGACAAGACTTATAGCTGTCAGTTATACAAGTATGACTTGCAACACAATATTGCTGTTATTGAAACCAAGTTCTTCCCTGGTCTTCGAGCAATAAATCTTGAGCATCAGCTGCAATTTGAGTCTCACAGTAAGGTAGTTGCTGTGGGGCGCTGCTTCAAGTCAGACAAATTAATGGCCACAAGTGGGGTGCTGACTGACGATCCAAGCGGAGTTCATCGGAAAGAACTCATGATCTCCACATGTGAAATCACCATGGTACCCTGCTGATCTCTCTTTACTTTCATATGTTGCGGAAATGAATAATTATGGCATATTGGCGTGGTATGAGTGGTTAAATATATCATTATATGCACTTAACTTTATCTTTTGGGCATTAAAGTTGCATTTTTCTCTTATATAATTATTTTCTAGTATCGCTTTATTTTGTGGTAGGCTTATAGCAGTTTATATATATTTTTTTTCTAGGTTGGGGTTGGAGGGCCTCTTATTGATTTGGACGGGAACTTTGTTGGCATGAACTTTTATGCGACGAAAAGGACGCCGTTCCTGACAAGGAGTACTATTACTGAATTCCTGGTTAATTTCAAGAAATACCGGTATGTTTTTACTGTCAGCTATGGTTTCTCGTTTTGCCTAGCCTCTACTTTCCTATACATCACTAATTTATACTTAGACATTTGGTATGCAGGGCACATGGAATACTTTTGTGTAAAAGAAAAGTTAAATTAGGACTGCACTTAGTGTTGGCTTTTAAAATGGTCATACTGAACTATAAGCCTCATGTTTTAAATGTTGGCACAGCCACACAGAGTACATTTATAAATTTTAAAATGGTCATACTGAACTATAAGCTTCATGTTTTAAACATTGGCACAGCCATACAGAGTACATTTATAAACAAACTGGCTGAGCCCATTCTGTCAGAGTCTCTTTAGTTCTGTAAAAAAAGGATGCCTGTTCCCTGAGAGGTAAATCATAATGATTAAATGCTGACTTTCCTATACGTTGACTTTGTTATAAGTTCCCTATAAATAATATATAGCCTTTGTTACACAAGAAAAGCTAGTAAAATTCTATAAGACTATAAGTTGACTTTCCTGTGAATAATACACCAAGTTATTGGGCTACTTTAGAAATATGAGTACAAGTACTAGCAAAGTGGTTAGTCCCAGAATTTGGTTCGCTATTTTGTGCTAGATGGCAACAGAACAGTTAATTTATCCAAAAGATCTTCTAGATGATCATAGATCATTTGTGCTAACAGTGAACTAGTTGTTCAAGCCAGAAATTATATGCAACCGAACACCAATCAGTAATCATCTATACTCCTTTAAAAAGACTCCAATGGTGGTGGCAGTGAATCTGTCACCCCACCTACTCCAATTATAGTTTTTACACATTACCCCTTGAACTTCTTAATATATTGCATAACAAGTAGATCTAAATGGATAGCCATATATAAAATTAAATTAAGGTGAGTATTCCTTGTAGCGAAAAGGTGGGTAACATATTGTTGAAAACTACGTTTTTATTTATTTTAGGCAATATTATGATAGCTTTTCCTTTTACCCGTAGCAAAGCATGGGCATTTAGCTAGTATGAAATGAAGTAAAGAGTAGTAGCTCAGAGCCTCAAAGGCTCATATATATTGTTGTTGTTATTATTATTAAAAGCACTAGGTGCTATATAAATTCCCTCTGGTCACAAATACTTATTGTTTTGGATATATCTCTGGTCAAACTTTTGAAACTCAAGTGTCAATAAACTTTTAAATATTTAGGTGGATATATGTTAAAAATCATATGCACAGACCATGTCAAAAAGTACTTTAATACTATTACAAATTTATTGGATATTAGAATATATTACAATTACAATAGAAATTAGTGGTCTAAGTTATATTGTGATGAATGAAGACTATAGTTGTCCAAATTCCAAAACAACACGTATTTGTGATAAATATAGATAAGGCACATCATTTTTTTGAGTGGCAAAAACACTTTTGAACTACCCCAATATCCTAGCTCGTTGGCTGTTATGTTTGTTAATTTATTTGCATCAGAGAGCATCCTTGACAACAATTTGGTTGCTTCTCACATCTCTAGCTAAATAAGTACCATTTCCATCTAGACCACCCGTACTGTCAAGCATGTATTACAGTTGCCTTGTACGATTTGGACTATTGTGTCCATGTTGAAGCGAATAACGATCAAGGTTTCCTTGCAGGTTTGATATTATATTTTCTCAAATTTGTCTGTTTCTATGAGATAGTTAATACTCACTTTTTTTTTGTATTGCTCCTATTGTTTGCATAGCTCTTTCACATTCACGCATAAGGTCTCTCGCCCTGGATGGCTAGCTAGTCCTCGGGGGGTGTTCTGGTCGCGTGCCACCTTTAGGGGAGTGTTCTGGTAGGGTCCTTTGGATCCCTCCGTTGTCTATATTTCTTTCTTAATGAGCGCAGTTCTCATGTGTTTTCGAGAAAATAAGCATTCATGCATAGATCTTGGAAAAACATTTTGGTCCAATTTGACTGTTAATTGCTGGTCACTGGTTATTGTTTGTGGTGCCTGGTAAAAGATATTGAGGCCAAAACAAAAAAGATATGCCTAATTTGAATAGTGGATTCAGAGGGAAGCGAAACATAGGCACATAGCGGCATAGCGCTCAACTGCTCTCGCAGAGGCTATATGTCCATGGCTGCATGCTTGCGGATGTCAGGGATCCTCACCACTTTATTTTTTTCTTGAAGTGTTACTCCAATATGCAGTTTTCCAAAAAGTAAACCTCAGGTTGCATAAGTGGGGAGACTAACCCACAACCTATACTGCACAGGATTGTTAGCTCTTTGTACCGTGCTAACTGTATTATCTGTTGGCATACGATGGTTGATAAATCTTTTACCCTTAGTTATGAAACTTTGAATAACATCACTGACCATATCATTGGTTACAAAAGGAATATAGAATGCTAATTGTCCTTATCCATTCCACCTTTTCTTTGGTAACTACGCTTGATGAATTTACTATGTTATACTGCAGGGGTGAGCTTAAGAAACTTGATAGCACAACTGGAAGGAGCACAAATGAGATACAAGAATCTCCTGCAACCTCCAAGTCCTATTTGGAAGGCTTGGAAGGATGTTCGGACTCTTTTGAGTTAGTAAGTGTGCAAAAACTCCTCAAGACTACTAAACTGTGATGTCACCTGTCGAGCAGATCATCATCATTTATTTTAAACTATTCATCGTTTGTAGGTTTGTCAGCATTTGTGCAAGATTGATTTTATGCTTTTACCTGTCTGTACTCTGTACTAACATACATGGATGTTCTGCATGAGAATCTAGTATTGTGTCCTTTACCCAAGGATTTCAGTTTATCCAATCTGGTCATTCCTCCTCTCGTCTTTACCATTTTAGGTGACTCCAGTAGGAAAGCTGAGAATGAGCAGGAGTCGTCTTCTTCTAGTGATTCAGAAGGTGAATCAGGCTAGGTCACTAATATCATGCAAAAGTTATCATGTTTCAATGCTAATTATTGATCATTACTAACACATGGTCGCCTTCACCTTGTTTCTCTAGAAAACCCAATTGAGAATGATCCATTTTTTCTGCTGGAGACCTCCCCTTTCTTGCCAGTTGCTGATGGTGATGGTGAGTCATTGCTTCTAATTTTGCTGGCATTGTTAACACATGATGATTAATCACTTCAGTTTGTTCACCAGAATTTGGGAAATTTTTTATCAAGGAACTAACGTCTCAAGGTTATCCTTTGCCAGCTGCCCTTGATGGTGAGTTTGTTGCTGACTACCCCCCTTGCATTGCACATTTTGACAGTTGTATTCCAGTACTCTCATATGTGGTACTACTTTTCTTTAACCAGGAGGCATGCGTTTGGTTAATACTTTTGAAAATGAATTTGCTGATGATATCTGGAGTAAACTCACCAAAAAAGTTGCTGCAAACATGTCTCATATTGTTGTCTCTCTTGCTTCATTCAATGGTAATCGCATTGCTATAATCTTATTGCATTTTTATTTCTTTTTTATATTTCATCAATAACTATGATTCATTATGATCTTGTAGGAGAAGAACGAATTTTTGTTTGCACAGGAATATTTGTAGGCTGCAATGAATCCAACACAAGGATCCTGACTTCAGCAAGTTTGGTTAGAATTTCTGATGATGAAAACAAGATTAATGATAACTTGAAGGTTGGTATTGTATTGTCCTCCTTGAGCTTATTCATTTGAGATACCTGTAAATCCGCACATTACTTTTGCAGATTGTTGTACACCTTCCAAACAAACTGTAGGGACATTGCAACATTATCATCTGCATTACAATGTTGCTATTGTCAGCATCAAAGGTTTCCGTTGTCTTCGTACAGAAGAATTTCATGATCCAGGGCAAATTAAGCGTAAGGAGGTATTATCTGTAGGACGTGTCTTCAAGTCAGGCAAATTAATGGCCACAGGTGGGATATTGACTGACAAACCCAGCAAACTTGACTGCAAAGAACTTATGGTCTCGACTTGTAGAATCAGTAAGGTACACTGAATCTCCAAATTGAAGTCTTGTTTTCTCCTCGTAAAAGAAAGGTTTTAATTTTCTTAGTGGAACAATTTATTGCATTACAATATGAACAATTTAATATAACACTACCAAACATTGCCATGCCTTACCAAACCTAGGGCGTGTTCGGCTGGCTTAAAGCCAGCCGGCTGGCTTGTTTTTTCTCTCACAGAATCACTGTTCACGTCCTGCCAGAACAGTATTTTTCTCTCACAACAATCAGCCGGAACAGTATTTTTCAGTCCTGCCGAACAAGCCCCTAGCCAAAGGGGTGTCTAACAAATGGACGGCCACACCTTAGGCAAGGTTTGGGAAATAAATGAGCGCATGACACATGTTTCCTAGGAAATGAAACAAACAACTGGCTTACAGTGTGGCAAAGATTGGCAAAGTGTGAAATGCCCCCGCTTCTGCGGAACTACATGTGTAAGGCATTTAAAACATCTTTTCATATGTGCTACTTTGTTTTTGTGTTAGGCTGGGATTGGAGGGCCCCTGATTGATTGTGATGGGAATTTCGTTGGTATGAACTTCTACGGTAGGAAAGAGACTCCGTATTTACCAAGGGATATAATTATGAAATTATTGAGCTATTTTGATGGAAAAGGGCATGTCTTATATGTTTATATGTAGACCTATGTGATCATTTTAGTCTTTTAAAAGCTAAGTTAATTATTTCCAGATGCTGAACTGTTTTGTGTCTTGTTGTAGGGACGTCTCTCCTGAGATTATGGACAACCAAAACATAAACAGGTATGTGTGTTTTTTAATTGTGAAGCAACTCAATCATATTTGCTCACTTTGTTTCACGTTAGTAATTCAGTGACTTGTTCAACAACAGATGGCCTGTGCCCAAGTTACATTATCCTTCCTTCTCCAGCCATCGCAAGATAGAGCCGCGTAATGAATATATAAAATATTAGTAATTTATATCCATGCCTATCTAGTCTTGAACATGATGCATTGGTTGCTATCTACTAATGGAGTAGCTAATGGCTTGATTAGCTTGAACTCCTCGATTGAACTCCTGTGTTGTGGAAGGGCAGATCTGACAAAGCATTCTTGAACTCTACGAATTTACAGATTGGTTTGGTCTCTATGATCTATGTTATGTTTATTTAGAATTATGTCACTCTCTGTTCCCTGTTGGCAAGTCAGTCCCATACGACGAATGCTACTTAACCTTATCTATTTTCTTTATTAAATTTGAAACGCCACACACTGGATTACTTGAAACCACGAGCTCATATGGTTATCTCCAATATGCATTTGTCTTTCAAACGGAGTTGTGCGTTTATAATTACCCATACCAGTTAATTAATATAAGTCAAGTGTAAACTATACAGTTTCTTAAATTGACAGAAAACTCAGCTAATTTAGGGCCCGCTTGAATGTGTTGATGGATGACGAATAGTTGAAACCGAGTTTGACACAAACGAATGAATTAACTATGATCAAAGTTGAAAAGTTTGCTTTCAAAAAAGTTTTCTAAGAAATATTGAAGACTGTTTATTCAAAAATCTCGTTGTGTTAGTTTTACTTATACCGCAGTCCCAACTCTCGGCCTCCCGCACAGGCACAGCGGGTCAGCCGCACCGCCCAGGCACGCCCGACGCACTCCACTTGCGAGCAGCGAGCGGCGGCCGGCGGCCGGCGGCGGAGCAGCAAGCGGCGCAGTCAGGCGGGCGCCCCCTCCTAGATCCCGGTCCCTTGCAGCAGTACACCCCTTCTCTGCGCTGCGCATCCCTGGGCTGGGCGACTCACCATCAAATCGCCCGGTCGGTGGCTGCTCTCTTCACCCCGGCAAGATTCAGCCAGTGAAGAAACTGGCCAGTTCCTTGATCCTCGTCTCCTCTGGTCCTCTCCTTCGGTCTTCCTTGTGCTCAGTCTCATTCTCACCGTGCAGGTACCCGACTGCCCTCTCGTCTTGTCGTCCAGTACTTTCGTTCATGTTGTGCTGTGCTGTGCTGTGGTAGTGTAGTCATGCTTGACAGTCCTTCGTTAGAAAAACACTATGGACGGATTTTTGTTTGAGTGCTGATACTTCATCCTGCGTCAGTCATGTAAACTTACTCATGAAATGTTGCGTGCGTCGTGAACGTCTTGTACCGTGTAATTCTCAAAAAAATTATTGCTAATATAGAGTCATTATTATGAAATAAATTATAGCTTTAAAATTTTCTAAAAAGTATAAAACACATATTTTCTCCCATTACGACTCACTGGAATATGTGCTGCTAACACACACGTATATGTATATATATATGGACATATAGCCTATGGTGTAGTTTTTGTTTTTTTCTGCTAAAATTTAGCCCTAGTCTTGGGCAAATTTTGGGTCCGTCACCGGGTGCAAGTGCAACTAGCTTCGTCATAATGGCTCTGTTCGCTTGTCTTATAATCCGTATTTTTTAGCTTGTTTTTTCAGCCGGAACCGTGTTTTTCTCTTACAACAAATCAACCGGAATAATGTTTCAGTTTGTTTTTCAGCGAAGCGAACGGGGCTAATAAATATGGCAGTTCCATTATTAGAATGTCCGGCTTAAGGAATATAAAGGTGGCCAACATCTCACTTCCATTTTTTTTTGGCTTAAGATTGCATCAGTTGATCCATTATCTCCTTGTCCCCACCAGGCTTAGGCTTCTGAGCTGAAAAACACACATCTTGGGCTGGCTTAGTGGCTTGTTTTAAAATTGTTCTGATTGTAATTGTTTTCCTTTTAAAATTTGAAGAGTATAGTTGATTTTCTATGAAACTCGATTTAAGCTCGGTTCATCTTGCTAGGCTCGGCTAGACGTTGAAAATATGATAAATCAATTTCAAAGAAAAGCTGAAAACAAGTGAGCCGACTCATCTCATTATCCACCCGGTGCATATATTGCAAGCAAAAACAAAAAAAATAATGATTTATCTCATAAAACATTTATGGGATGATCTTATGATTGACAAGCACGCCTGTATCGGGTGCTGCCCACCCGCCAACCGCCATCCGATTCACGTACTAGTCTGATCTGAACCGTCGGATTAAGATTCTGATGACTTGACCAAACAGGTCGGTTGGACAGGCCAAAACCAGGCATAGCGATGTCCACTTCGGGGGCACCTGTGTCTTTTGGGTTTGGCCCATTTCTTCGCTTCCTTCCGCGACCGCAACCGTGCGTTTCTCCTCGAGCCTTTTCCCTACGTACCATTAAAAAAGATGATATTTTTCTATAGGCCACTAAAAAGTTCGGACTTATCTAGGTGCCATGACACTTTATTTCTTTGCCCCCTAAGCCATTCCGTCCATTTTCGCTAGTAACGGTGTGTAACGGCGAGGAGAAAAGACCGAAGTGCCCTCAGTCTGGGGAGGATGAGTGAAATTGCCGTTTGCGTTGTGTGCCACTCCCTGACCAAGCGTTTGAGCACCAAGACGGCTGACGTGGGCAAGTTTTTTGGCGTCAAAGGCACTGGGCTTGGCGCCAAAGAGACCCCGCTTGGTGCTTAAACGAGGAGCTATCAAGCAACGCGTACCAAGCAGCGCAAGCAAAGCTCCGAGCTTCGCCATGAACTTGGGTAGCAGGACCCCGGTGACGATCCGGTGCAAGTACTGTAGCGCGTGCCTCACTGTGTGCCCCGGCGAGCGCGTCGTCCAGTGCACGCAATAATCTTGCGGCGTGACGCGCGATCCGGCGGTCGGTGTCTCGCGGCTCCGCTTGCGGAGCCGACGAGGCCGGGCGGCGCCTATGGGCGCTTTCCCTGCGGCGCCATGCAAGCAAGAAGCGCTGTCTCCGACGGCATCTCAGACGCCACCGTCGGCGCCGGGCTGCGCGAGCGGAGAGGGACCCATCAACGACGTCAAGTGCATGAGGCGCCTCCTTCCGGTAACCGGCCGCTTTCCCAAATGACGGCATCATCATCATGCTCACCGTGTGTGTGTGTGATGCAATCGTCCATGCATTTCGATCTCTCTCAAGAAACTAATTGATGCATGGGGGCAACTCGGTGCGTCGTGCAGATGACCGTAAGGACCCGTTCAGTCGCCGACCAAGGACAACATCCGCATGGCGATGCAATGGTCGGTGCAGGGTGCGCGAGCACGGCGACTCCGGTGTTCCATTTCTCCGGCCGGGCACGCAGTCGCCGACGAGGATCGCGACGAGCCGACGCCAGCGTCACGACGAGGCCATCTCGCCTGTTGGACTTCGTTCTGAAGGGCCCCATCTCGACGACGAGATCAACGAGACCATCGTCCGCCCATGGTGCACGGGCGCTAAGTCGCACGCCGTCGTCGACGCTTACCACAGCGCCACCGTCCTCGACCTCCCCTTCCTCTCGCAACATGTCTAGGACCGGGAAGCTGGCAAGGGAGGATCACCGCCCCCGTCGGGCGCCTACAAGGGCAGCACGAAGCGGCGCCGGCGGTGCTTCATCGGCCGCTACAACGACGGCAAGACCAAGTTCGGCGTGGTCAGTGCACACTGATCCTATACTTCTATGGTCGCCATGAACGTAACTGACGCTCTGATCTCTTCCGATTGGTTTGACACGCGACACGCCATGTTCTATTGCAGACGCCGGAGGCCTGCGCGACGGTGGGGCTATGACGCGCAACAGCTTCATCAAGGCGGTGGAATGCGAGCCGTGGGGGTCACCACGGCCGCCGCTCACCTCCATGAAAGCCATCATGACCAACGCCGCGGCTGCAACCATTCATGGGTCCTATCGGCGGCGCTGGCGCGCAACGACGCAAGGTCGCAAACTTCGGGCGTGCGGTGAGGCTCGCCATCGCGATCATCGATGAGTCGAGCAATCGACTTTGTTGTTCATCCCGACATGCAACTCATATATGCAATGCATGCATGGCTCGCCTTGCAGGAACCTAACCTGTCCTGCTCGGAGATGTTCGACGTCTACCGCAAGCCCTTTGCGCTGTAAGAGCCTCGTCTGGCTTGCCATTGCAGACTACATACTGCCGTCTGGACTCTATAACTACCGTGTTGTCGGAACAATAAACCAGATGGGTTTAAGGATGACATATGCTTGCTTGCTAATGATGTGTGACTAATTGTCTATGTGTCAATAATGTGTGTCTACATGTCACCGGACCTGAGGCAAGCTCATAGCTTGTGGACGACCTGGTTCATCATATCGTCCATGGCTCCCGAGCCTACTGTACCTTATGGCCCATTGTAACAAGGCTATTGTTTCCTGTGCATTTCCTGTGCAGTTGATGGGCGCGCTCGTCGGGGCACACAGTGAGGCACGTGCTGCAGTACTCGCATCGGATCGTCGCCGGGGTCCTGCTACCCATGTTCATGGCGAAGCTCGGAGCTTTGCTTGCGCTGCTTGGTACGCGTTGTTTGATAGCTCCTCGTTTAAGCACCAAGCGAGGTCTTTTTGGCGCCAAGCCCAGTGCCTTTGGCGCCAAAAAAACTTGCCCACGTTAGCTGTTTTGGCGCTCAAACGCTTGGTCAGGGAGTAGCACATAGGGCAAACGGTAATTTCACTCATCCTCCCTAGACTGAGGGCACTTCGGTCTTTTCTCCTCGCCGTTACACACCGTTACTAGCGAAAATGGACGGAATGGCCTGAGGGCAAAGAAATAAAGTGTCATGACATTTAGGTAAATCCGAAATTTTTAGTGGCCTGTAGAAAAAGACCATCTTTTTAAACGGTACACATGGAAAATGCTCCCCCCATTCCCAACAACCCCCAACCCCCCAATCGCAACAGTTTCACTGCGCCACAGTACAATTCCTGTCTCGCACCGCCCGAGCCGGCCACAACAGCGACAGGCCCCTCGCGCCGATCGCCGGGCAATGGGAGCTGGGCGGGGGCGGTGATGGGCGCGGCGGGCTCCAGGCTGGAGAAGGCGCTGGGCGAGCAGTTCCCCGAGGGCGAGCGCTACTTCGGCCTCGAGAACTTCGGCAACACCTGCTACTGCAACAGCGTGCTGCAGGTACGCCGGGGCCGGCCTGAATCTCTCTCTGCTCGTTGCGATGCGAGCTGCTACCCCGCGTCAGAGGCGTGGGGGATTTGTTGGTTCTCTTCCGTGCGGGGGCGGTGAGGAGCGATGCGTGTTTTGCGAGATCGTGTCGCGGTGATTCCGCCCGTGTGGTGCTCGCGCCGAAGATCAGCGCTAGATTTTCTGCGTGGGGGTTTTTGTGATTGTTGAGCGGTGCCGGTGATATGTTTCCTGTTCAATTTTTTGCGACATGATCATAGGTCGTCATGTTTGTATGTAGGAGCTTTGCCACGGATAGTTAGCTGTGGGACATTTTTATCAGTAACATTTAGAGAAAGATATGGTACTGTTCTCCTCATAATGTGGGATCTAACTGTTTCCTGTTTCAGGCACTTTATTTTTGTGTTCCTTTCCGTGATCAATTGCTGGAGTACTATGCAAACAATAAAAACACCGGAGATGTTGAAGAGAACATGCTAACCTGCCTGGCTGATCTGTTCTCTCAGGTACTACTGCAGCTATTGGTTGTTGTGATTGTTATTCCCGTAATCTAATTCTCAACTTCTTGTATATCCTGCAGCATGTAGGAATCACTAAAAAAACATGTTGAATCTTGCGCGGAATTGTGGAGATTTTGGTTAATTAATCACAATTCCTGAGCAAAACTGTATATGAAGATCACTGCAATTGTTAAGTTGTCACATTTATATTGAATAAATACCATCGGATTTCCGCCAATAAAGTTGCTGGTTAATTTGACAGTTTCCCATGATGTCTATAGTTCTACTTGTTATAGACTTAAATTGTTCTTCCTTAGTTTGAAATCACAAAATGATGTTCCAAAGTATAAATTTCTACAGTTTAACCGCATAACACGCTATGTGCAAAATTAATCCTCAGCAATGAACTACCAAGATTGCCTTGTATCTCTTACCATCCAAAGTGTAAGAGGAGCATGCTAGAAAGGAGCACTCTGTGTTATTTGGATTATATACCTTCTTCTGGTAACCTCTGTAAATTGATAATTTGGACTTTTAAAAGAAAATATGTAATTTAATAAACCTAAACCTGGTTCTAGGAATGTAATTTAATAAACCTAAACCTGGTTCTAGGAGTAATGCCTGTTGAATGAGAAAATTTCGTAGGACATGCTCCATTGTTGCCTTACTTTGCCACTGACTTTTCACAGATAAATTTGTGTTAGCCTTTGTACTGACAGATATTTATGTGCTCGTCAATTGTATTGTAGTTTTACAGTATTTTTAAGTCTGAAATATGTACAATGTTTTGGGGACATCGCTTTTATCTGGAGGCCTCTTACTAAGTGTGACATGTCATTGTTTGATACAAGTGAATATTGGAGTGGACTGAGGAAGAAACCAACAGTCTACTTCAACAAAATAATTATCCCTTTTTCATTGTCTATACAGATCAGTAATCAGAAGAAGAAAACAGGGTTATTGCTCCTAAGCGCTTTATACAACGATTGAAGAAACAAAATGAGATTTTCCGCAGCTATATGCATCAGGTAATACATTTCGCCAGTGACGTCTTCCAATGTGTATTTTGTAGTTTTAGCAAGCTCATGGTCACATTATAGTGTAGTCTTTGCATGAATCACTATTGTAATTTTTGCAGATGTGTTTTAAGTAATTTCAATGTGAAATGATGCAACACTGAATTCAAGGTTCTATATTAGTATATTCAAATCCTTGCAATATCTGGAAATCATGGGAACCTTCAATCTGAATCTTACATATCCTGACTGTACCCTATGTTCCATAGATAAATTCGCTTAATAGCACCTGGAGATGGTTCCCCGCTAGATTTACGGAGAATCTTAAGCATTTTAGAATAAGTTCTGGATTTGTAAAGGCCATCTCTATTTTGGCTATTTATCAGTGATTAACTATAATCCTTGGTATATGAGATATGGTAATAACTAATAACGGTGCAGCATTTTAAGACATGTTGAAAAGATATGTAGTTAATTGTTTTTTATGAAATATGTAGTTAATTGTTGCTATAAAAATTATGTTCTCTTCCAAGATCATGCCATTTATATTATGCTTTTTCAATCATTGTAGTGTAACCTTTTTGTATAGACTGTGAACTCACACTACTGTACTTAACAGGATGCTCACGAGTTTCTGAATTTTTTACTGAATGAGCTAGTTGACATTCTAGAGAAGGAACATAATGCTGCAAGAGAGTCTCTTCAAAATATCTCGTTCCCAAAGAATTCAAATGGTCCTATTGATGGCCAACCCAATGGTAGTCACAAAGAATTAGCTGCCACATGGGTTCATAAATGCTTCCAGGTGAGATTTCATTCATTTGTTCTAGGATGCTTTTGTTTGTGTGCCTATGGCATGAACATGAACTCCAGCTTCTGCTTATGTTACAGTCTTATCTTTTAGATGTGCCTATAATTCTTAATTTTGTTCCTGTAGGGAATATTGACTAACGAAACAAGGTGTCTGAGATGTGAAACTGTGACTGATAGAGATGAAACATTTTTTGACCTGAGCCTGGACATTGAACAGAATAGTTCACTCACCAGCTGTCTTAAGAACTTCAGCTCAACAGAGACTTTGAATGCTGAGGACAAGTTCTTCTGTGACAAATGCTGCAGGTACGTTGTTCTCATCCCTTCGTCCATAGTCCATGTATATACTGTCTTATAATATTTTGTCCTGGCTAACATTGGTTCTGTAGAATATCATTTGAGGCATGTGTTTATGTTAGTTCTTGGCTCCACTTGTTTTGCCTTTTTTTTTAAAAAAAAAGGTGCTTGAATCTACTGTAAATTATCCAATACCTCTAGCAGATCTTCTGGGCTAATGGCTTGGTTACCCTTCTGTTAGTATCTCCTCCATTCCAAATTATAAGACGTTTTGGCTTTTCTAGATTCATAGCTTTTGCTATGCACCTACATATATATTATGTCTAGATACATAGCAAATGATATGAATCTAGAAATGTCAAAACGTCTTATAATTTGGGACAGAGGAAGTAGTTGTTTTTGTCCGGCATAACTGTGATTTATATATTGTGATTGCTATATCATTTTTCCAATTTCATATGTTTTGATGAATTTGTTCTTCACTTCAGTTTACAGGAAGCACAAAAAAGGATGAAGATAAAAAAACCACCAAACATCCTAGTAATTCATCTCAAGCGGTTCAAGTATATTGAGCAGCTTCAGCGCTACAAAAAACTATCATACCGAGTGGTTTTCCCACTGGAGCTTAAACTTCTTAACACAGTTGATAATTCGGACTTGGAATACTCCCTATTCGCTGTGGTAGTTCATGTTGGAAGTGGGCCAAATCATGGCCACTATATCAGTTTAGTTAAGAGCCACAATCATTGGTTATTCTTTGATGACGAGAACGTTGAGATGACTGATGAGTCCATGGTACAGGCATTCTTTGGCTCACCGCAGGAGTTCAGTGGTAACACTGATAATGGCTACATACTCTTCTATGAAAGCCTTGCTGAAAGAAGTTGATGTCCTCATACCATGTGATTAGTTATACAATTTTCTTTTCCTTCCATTTCTGCTGGGGATATATAGAATATTCAGTGAAAAGTAGAATAAGCTGAATGAGAGGCCTTCAGCTTCAGATGTTATGGTACAATCAACACTTGGCAATAAAACAAGTTACCTGGAGGGGCTATAGGCTATAGCTGAAGAAGCCGACTAGTTTGTAGTTCCTACTTTATCTGTTTTTATGCATATACAGGTTGTATCAATTCCAGAATAATGTTCATTGAAGACCTTTATTATCATGTAAATGGATTCTATCTAGGAAGCCTTTTTTGGTTTCGAGTAAAAAATTTGTTTGTTAGATAAAACTCCTGTCGATCTTCATTCATAGGATCCTCACCTGCTCATCGGTAGCTGACATAAGTCCTGTACAGTTTCCAGATTACCTTCTTTGTGTTATTGTGTCCTGCTCCTATGGTACATAACATATTTCAAAATTTTGAAGATGGATCTAAGCTTATCTCAAAAGCTACATATTGGTTGAATTCTGAATGCTTATATGCATAATGCGGAAAAAAAATTCTGTCCGTATCTGAAGATAAGATACGACACAGCCGAATTTGGATGTCTAGGCCTGTTCGCATGCAAAAGTATGCTTAGGCCTGTTTGGATGCAAAAGTATGCTTAAAGTTTTAGGAAAATACCATTGTCGTTTCTAAAAAAAAAAACCATTTTGTTGATTTTAAAAAAAAGAGAGAAAAATACTACAGTTTTACAAAATACTTTGGTTTTGAAAAGCTATGACGTGTTTGGCGACGATAAACCATGTGGTTTTGAAAGTCATGACATTTTTTTTGGGGGGTTGGGGGGGGGGGGGGGGTTGGCTTGGGGTATTACATAGGATGTAATGGCCATGATGACTTGGATGAAAAGCTAATAAATAGTACATCTGAGTGGTTTAGATTTTAGTGGTGCTAGCTAGAGAGAAAATGCAAGTGAGAATGCAATACACTGGAATGGGTAGTACTGACTATTAAATGACAGTACTAGTCGTTCAAATTTGCGCCCGGTCCTAAGAATAATAAAAAAAAATTGCTCACCGGGCACGAAACAACGCAAGCCAAATTAATAGTTCAAACTAAGCAAAGCAATAATAGTTACTCTACTTCGTTCTACGTACTAGCTTATTGATATATTGATATAGTCGGATTTGCATCAATCTATATATGTTGAGGTGGATTGGAGTGAAACATAAACTAAATTTCACCCCAATCCACTCTAACATATGTGGACTGAGATGAATCCGACAACATCCAGACAAGACATAAATCCTCTCCGCACGTAAACACGTAGTTAATCCACTCCAAGCACGAAGCTAATGTCGACGAAGTAGACGATGAAGCTAAAGACGATGGTGAAGGCAGCAGCTGTCCTGAGGGTCCAAAGTTAATAATCTCATCGAGGTGCGGGATGTATGCCAGCGGCCCGCTCGGTGGAGGATGGTCACAACGATCGCCGCCTCTGTCGTCGCTTTCCACCTACCCCGCCATATATGGCGACGCCGGCGGCAAGCTCGATAGCAAGAATTGATGATGATGTTAGCACATATATGTTATTTTTTTCGTATGTTGCGATTTGCGGATGATGATGATGTTAGCACATATATGTGCTATGCTTTTTTTATGACTACGATCAGAGCTTTACTGGTAAAGTAGACTAGGTGTAATTTTTCACAATTCGACACTCCCATGGACCTATGCTCATAGCCATCATATTTTTTTTTCCCCATAGGCATTCATAATGCGAATCCAATGATTTTCAATTTCTATGTCAATTTGTTTGTGAAATATGAAAGCAATGCATGCTTTTTTTTGTCTATATGCTAAATGATTGTCAATTTGTATGAAATATTTCTCTGTCAAGTTATATGTCTAGTGTTACTTTACAAATTGATTGGCACTAGCTTGTGATGGAATCCAATATGTCATTGGAGGCCCCTCTCGAGTCATTTGGTATCCAAAGTACAAATTGATTGGCACTAGCTTGTGATGGAATCCAATATGTCATTGGAGGCCCCTCTCGAGTCATTTGGTATCCAAAGTAATTCTTCAAAGTTAACAAAAAGATCGAGGAACTACACTCAACAAGAGGACGTCCAGTTGGTGTGAATCATGGGAGAACATTAGTAGTGATCATATCACTAACAATGATCAACCCTCAAAGGCATAGTGGAAACGAAACCATGCCAACAACAAAAAATTATGAGTGATAGGAGTGTAAATTCTCTTGACCATAGTTGCGCACCGTTAATAGGAAGTGTCAGAAGTTTCATGCAATTTTGAGGCGGTTGAGTGTTGCCATCCTAGCGACGTTCCAGGAAAACTCTCTTTAGTGTGGCTATGGTGAGACCCCTGTGGTGAGACATGAGCTTGCTTTGCATTCTTTACTCTTTATTTTTATTTGGCCTAGCTGATGGCAGCCACAGGATAATGACAGGAAATTCAATGCCAGACGGCGGACGTGCCAGGCTCGATCGAACCAATAATTCAGCAAAGTGACGGGCGACGGCGGTAAAAGAGATCAAAGTTTTTCTTCGTACTCGTACGCACTGATTGATTGGACTTCGATGTGAGCATACAGTAATTGCCTGGTAGCCTGATAAGTGATAAGCACGGGCACGGCTGCAACAGCAAAAGGATCAGTTTGGAGCGGTAACCAGCACAGCAGCGAGCGTGGAAACGTACTGGCGCAGCGTTGACAGCGACGAGCCGAAGCCGACCGGTGTAGACGCACGACGCTTCTGCTAGTCCAATACTCCGCGCGCGTCAATGCCGGACGAAGCAGCCGCCCGCCGGTTCTCGCTGAATCATTGGATCGGCCGTCGGTACTTTCTGGATGCCCAAATGTTGACATGTATTCCCTCCATCCGTCCCATAATATTTCATCTTCTAGCCTTCTTTAATTTGTGCCGGTCTCTCCTTGGATCAGCTTGATGATCAGGGGAAGGTGCATGCATGCGTTGCGTCGCCGCAAACTTCAAGGCTATATATATCCACGTAACCAGCTGTTAATTTCGAAGTTCGAACTAAGTATCCCAGTCTCAAAATGTAAATGAAGGAAAATCAGTGCTTGAGAAAAACAAGTCCCCGCTTCCTCTAAAGCCAACGGTAGCGACCAACGCTTGTTTATTTGCTGCTAATGTTGCACGTAGCGTCTGCAGGCAAACGTATAAAAAAAATGGCATGACTCCATGCCCCTCTAGAGGAAAGGTAATAACTGTCTTCCAAGCCATAATAGATTAATAGAAGGTCTTGACCCCAGATCACGACTCGCGCGGACACTACTCAGCAGGTCGTGTTTCCGGCATGACGATTGACGAAGCTCTGAAAAAGTGCACGCGGATCAATTACAGGATCTTCATCGGCGTTCATTATTCAACGCTGGCAGCGTCACGGGATACAACCAAAGGTTGGCTGCTCTCTTTGACCCAGTGATGTGACGCAGGGAAAGCTCGCAAAACCATCCAGGCATCTGAATTCTAAAGTGACACTGCCACATCTGACAGAGACTCTCAAACGACGACAGAGACTTTGTTTTGTTTTAACCTACGTGAAAGACTTTGTTGCTACTGCTCCGTCCATAAAAAATACTGTATATTTTTTGTTTTCTGGAGAGTCAAATCAAATAATATAAATCTTTTTTAAATAAATTATATAAAAAATACTAACACAAATTAAATGTCATTAAATTAATTATACAATATTTTTATGTAAACTTTATTAGAGACATAAATATTAATATTATTTATTACAAACTTAGTTAAACATAATTTAGCTTGACTAGCACAAATCTTATAGTTCCATCTTTTGTGAATGGTGGGAAAACTTATGTAAACAGATGTTGGAAGCCTTTTTGTCTTCACGTAACAATTTAATTTGTTTCCAATGTACTACGGTTTATGTCACATTTGTATAAGGTTTTTAATTATGGGCTAAGCTCTTTAGTGATGGAGTCCTCCAAAAGCTATAAATACCTGTAGGATCTCTGGTTGGCCTAGAGGGGGGTTAATAAGCCTGTTAAAATAAACACTCAAACTTTTATCAATTTCACCCTGCGGCACTGTCGCTCTGGAGGACGGCACTGCCGCACCTACAGATAACTTCGAATCACAGTTCAAAATCCGTGAACGAAAACTTAGATCGAAGAAATTTTCTAACTTACTGCAGGTATAACAATCACAGATCAAGAGCTAGAAGTGGTAGAAACACTACACACAAGTAGATCGACTAGAAACCCTAGAAATCACCTCAATCACAATATGTCATGCAAGTAATGTAGATCAGGCACAAATGACACAATAATTTATCCCGTGGTTCGACTCGCCACCAAGGCTTGCCTACCTCCACGTTGTTGAGGTTAGCCATTAAGACTTAGGGCTTTCTAACCCTTCCTCGTTCTCAAAAAGAGACTTAACTCTTGAGATGAGGGGTGAGTTTACTAACTTTAAGAGATGGTTATAAACCTCCCGGGGCTGCCACACAAGTTGGCAAGCTCCACGGGCGACGCTCTAGCCGGCTAGGAGCCAAGCTCCAAGAGTAACAAACACAACCGCCGGCCAAAACGTGAACCAAGTGCTCTTTAGAGTTGGGGAATCAATGGAGCTGCTCTCTAATCGAGTTTTGGACCCTTTTTCCTCAAGGATTGATAAGGAAATCAATGGATTTGCTTGAGAGGCTTGAGGTCAACAATGGAGGGAGAGAGAGTGTGTTTCTGCTCTGTTTTGGGCGTGCTGAAGTGAGGAAGAAGAGGCAACGTACCGTTGGGGAGGAAGGCGACGGGTATAAATAGCCCCCAGCCTCCAACGGTCACTTGAGTCACGGCAGTGCCGCGGCTCTAAGTGCGGCAGTGCCGCACTACGGCAGTGCCTCTCTTCAAGTGCGGTAGTGCCACACCACGCAAGACAGTAAGAGTAAGAGTGAAGTGTAAACTATCTTGGTTATGAATCTGAGGATGCATGTGTA